CCATCCCAACCAGGTGTTGAAAACCTTTCTGAATTCTCACGTCTAAATTCCTCAGCTTGTTCATCAGTAATAATAATTTCCTCCTTTCTTCCTTCATCATTTCTTGAAGTTGATTGATTAATTTTGAATCTTGAATATCCTTGATCCAAATTTAGCAAAACGTGGGTGAAGTCCTCTTCTTGATTAAAGGATCCACTTTCCTCCTTGCCGCATCTGATTCAAAAATAACTCTTCTTTGACTTGAAATAGAAGGAATGTTCCATTGACTTAAAGTTCCACAGCTTGATTTAACCGCTTCCTTTCCTTTATCTTCATCCTTCTCAACTTTGACTTTGTTTTCAGTAACCTTTGTTGAATTTTCAATTACTAATTTTCTATAAGGCTTCTGATCCCAAGGAATTCTGTCTCCATTAGGAAGAAAGAAAGATTTACCATCAAACTTGACCAAATTATCATCCACATCCTGCTTGACATATCTACAATCATGAATTGAATGACCTTCTCTATCACAATACCAACACATGTAAACAGACCTGCTACCACCTTCATTCCTCTTAAAATCATCATTTTCATTCCTGTTACCATAATTATTCCTTGAATAATTATTTTCTCTATTACCACCATAATTACCACAAGTAGAATTACCATTACCACTGCTCCCATAAGTTCTTCCACCTGTAGCACCACCTTTCTTCAAAGTTTCATTCTCTTTCTCAACCATTTCCAATTTCTTCTTCAATTGATCCAATAAATTACTTGTACCACCTGAACCACCTGAAATACCCAATGAAGTTTGTCTTTGAGTTCTAAAACTTTCCATAACTGAAGCAACATTTTCCTTCTTAAATGAAGACCTTTCTTCTTCATTCTTAGTTAAATCTCCAAAAGCCATATGCATCCGCATTACTCTACTGACATAATTCTCCAACATACTTAAATGAACCATTACATAATTATGACCAACCTTCTTCAACTGCCCTTCACTATCCATTAAAATTTTAATTTGATGTTGAATAGGTGCTGAAAAAGCCTTGAAGTAATACCTTGCCATCTGTCTTGAATCACCTGAATTAATTTGACCTGAACTCTTCAAATAAATTAACATGGTCTTGAATTTATTTTCAAACTTCACATAAGCATCATTTGTTGAAATACCACCAGCTCTAGCCAAGTCATCACATAATTTATACAAGTCCTCATCCGTATACAAAGGTTGAGTACCTGCACCCCATAATTCATTCATTTCATTCTTCAATAACCTCCATCTTTGAGTCCTGTAACCAGCCATAGCTTCAATAACAGTCTTCATTTCATCATCTTTAATAAAAAATTTGACTTGAAGACACTTATCTCTATCACTTGCATTATCAATCAAAGCAGCATCTTCAAAATCTCTCAAAAACCTTTCCATATCACCACCTGATTTAAATGATAAACTTTTATCAACTGGTTGAATCTTAACAGGTTTCTTCTGATCCTCATCTTCACTACTGATTTCCTCATAAACAACTCTCCTTGTCTTCTTTGATTTTAACTTCTTTTTAATTTCATTTTCAACAAATTCATTCTTCACATTCCTCATTTTAATTTCATCATCAACTTGATTTTCTCCATCACTTTCCAATTCCTTTCCAATACCTTTACCCAATAAGTCATCCTGAACTTTCTGAGCATCAACATCATCCTCTGAATTATCACTATGATAAACTCCTTCACTCGTTAATTCTCTTCTACGAACTTTCTCATCTCTTGAAGCCTTCATCTTATCCTGCTTTAATTTCTGCAAAACCTGAATAACTTCCTTCTCAGTTAAACCATCCATCAAACTTTCAATATTATCCTCAGCAACCTGATAACTTTCTGATAAATCTTTTCCTTTTCCTTTATCCAAAATATCATAACCACTTGATCCAGCCTTAACATCCTCCTTATCCCATTCATTATCAAATAAGTTAGCCATTTGAATTAAATTGAATAAGTAAATTGAGTTAATGAATTAATTAATCAAAACCACGAAATTCTTGATGATTTGATGAACAATAAATCAACCAAAAATAACAATAACAATTGAAAACCTGAACAAATCTTCAATAAAAACTAAAAGACCAATATCCTGGTTCTTTTATCAGATGATACCAATTAACTCCAAAAACCAAGCTAAGAGACCAATATCCTGGTGCTCTACACAAAATCAATATGAAAATTAATTATAATAATTTCTGATTCCAAACTGAATGAATAATAAATCAATTACCTACTTCCTAAAAGACCTATATCCAGGTGCTTTTATCAATTGAACCTTCTGAATTAAAAATTAAATCCACAAACTAAGAGACCAATATCCAGGTGCTCTACACGAAATTAACAACTTCTGAACAAGTATGTTAACCCAAAAAAAATAACAATAACTCCTGAATGAATATAATTCAAGTTGAATACCTAGATTAATCCTAAAAGACCTATATCCAGGTGCTTTTATCAAATAAATCCTTTAAATTAAATTCAACAACTAAGAGACCAATATCCAGGTGCTCTAGACGAAATTAACAACTTCTAAACAAGTATGTTAAGTTCCAACAATAACCACAAATCTTGAAGTGAATCAAACTTAAGATGAATACCTAAATGACTCCTAGAAGACCTATATCCAGGTGCTTCTATCAGATAAGACCTTTTAAATTAAATCCACAAACTAAGAGACCAATATCCTGGTGCTCTACACGAAATTAATAACTCCTGAATAAGTATATTAAATTCAAAATAATGATAATAATAACTTGAATTGAATTAAATTAAGCTGAAAACCTAAATCAATCCTAGAAGACCAATATCCTGGTTCTTCTATCAAATTAAACCTTTGAATTAAGTTAATGAATGAGTGAATCAATAACCACGAAATTCTTGATGATAAAATGAGTAATAATCAACTAAGAATAATAATAAGAATAATAAGAACTTGAACTTGAATCTGAAATCTTGAATCTTGAAGACCAATAAATCCAAAAACCTAGAAGACCAATATCCTGGTGCTTCTATCAAATAAAGTGTTGCTGGAGTTTGAGGTGTCTGGCCTTTTCTCTTGGATGAGCCTGGGCGAGTCCAGGATTTTTGGCTGGCATTGCCCAAGATGACTCAGTTGGAAGAGCAAACACCAAAAAGGGAAGAGGTAAGATCAAGAGTTGAGGGACCAGATGTAGAACTCTTTCAGTACACAGCTGAAAGCAGAGCCAAGAAGGGGAGGAATGAAGACACAAATCAACAAACACACACAATCAAAAGAGAAATAAGTCTTGAGATGGTGAATTGAAAGACTTCAATCAAAGAAAGAAATGCCCTTCTTAAACAGGGACTTTGATTATCAATGAATTAAATTTAAGACCTTCAAGTCTTTGGATTAATAAGAACCAGGCTGAAATAGGACAATAACTTCAAAAATAGCACAATCTAGGCGCACTCAGGCACCTTCCAAATGAGCAAATGAGCTTACAACTCAACAAGAAATTAATTAAAAGATGAATAAGGGTCTTATTATTATAAAATTCCAACTCTCATTAGTTGTTTACCTGAATGATAATAATAAAAGATAAAAGCTTATTCTAAAAATCTAGTAATTATTTTTGCTAACTAAAAGGCTCCCAAAGGGGAAGAAAAGAGACCCTTGACTATATCAAAATTGAAACACACACAAAAAAAGAAAGTAAGACAAAAACAACCCTCAAACTCGAAATCCACCTTCAAACAACTTTTTCACACACAATTCATTGAACAACCCCCAAATTAAAATTGATAAACATCTTCAACTCACCCGCATGTATCATTCACAAATTTTCAAGCACACATTTATCATCAAAACTGAGCTGTTTACCACAAAAACTGAAAAATCCGCCAATTTACCCTTAAAACCTGAAAAAAAGATAAGAAATAGGGACTGTATCAAAAATCTGAATAGACAGAAAAAAAAGGTCTGCTTCCGCTCTACAACTTTGCTCAGCCAAGCTAAACCCTAACTGTATTGGTTGTACCCTTAAAATGAAATTCGATTTTATGTGAAAATACTCGAAATTGAATTTACCCAGTTTACCACCTGATATTACCACTGATAATGCTGTATATGGTTTATAATTGATTTTTCATGCTCAGATGCGCCCATATGATGCCTTCCACATGATTTACCCTCTAAAAAACTGATGTAGTACATTTGAAATAAAGTCTCATGATTGAAAATGGAGCCTTTTATGGAATTTTGAAAGCCATTTTCGAGTTTCAAAATCATCCTTTTCATTTGTGATTTTGTATTTGCCAATATTGGTGTTTGATAATCTGATGAATTTATAATTTCACACCAATCCCTACTTGCTTTTTCAGTTTACCACCCCAGTTTACCACCACCCCAGTTTACCACCATCTGTCTGAGTTGCTGGATTTTCGAAATTCAGCCTTATTTAAACCCATACCTCAAAACCATGATTCCTCTACACATAACTTGTTAAAACCATACACATCTGTAACCATGACTTTTTAAACCCATAAAATTCGAAATTTCAAGTTTAAGCCTGTACACCCTATGTAACCCATACAACATTCAACTACACATAACCTCTAAACCCATAAATTCGAAATTTGACTTCATTTTACACTACACCTCATCCATCAAACTACATAACCCATAAAAAGAAAAATAGAGAAATAAAAATATAACACTTCACATAATAAAACTTGACATATATGATCAAACTAAATAAGATAAAAAATAAAAAATGAAAATTGAAAATTGAAATTAAGTAAAGAGAGAAAGAAAATGAAAAAAAAAGAAATGAACTAAATAAAGAACTAATTTAAAAACACATTATTGATGTAATGTTCTAAAAAATGTAGTTTCTCGTATTTTAAAATGAAAGTTAATAAAATAATGGGGTTACCCCAATTCTGATTTCCACAGCCTCCCCCAAAACCCAGCGATGTCCCCATCGCAGGAGACTTGTCTTTCAGGAAATACTTCGATGCCATACTTGTAAGTTGCAGTTGAAATTGCTTCTTAATATTCATGTCTTGTTTTTTATTTTCAACTTTGATCTAAAGGCCTAACAATTTATTTTCACGCGATCGATCTATTTAAATTCTAGTTGCTTAGCAATGTTATATTTATATATCCAGATGGACAATACCAAGTCAAGACTCCAGGAATTCCAGTCAGCCTTCTTTTCCAACAATACCGATAGAATCGAAAACTTTCCACACTACTACATTGTTGAAAACCGTAAATACTTCTAATTTTTTTTTTTTTTTTTTTTTTTTAGTGTTTGACTCTTTACTTCTATTTATTTTTGTTTCCTACTTGGTAATTGTCTTTGAACGTTTGATTGATTCAAAACATTCAATTTCTTTTGATTTCAATCGTTCTGTTCATATACTGACAACTTGATTTTTTTTTTTTTTTTTTTTTTTTTTAGTTCTTCTTTTATTTGAATGACTCAATCTATCTAGATATAATGGACATGAGCGGAGTTCCCATCGCACCTCGCAAACAACGCGAAGCCGAACTTAAGCAAATGGCCGCTAAACGACACGCCAAGAAACAAAACGAAACGTTCGATCGACCACCTAATCCCAACGTTTCTTCTCCCAATCACTCAAGTTTCAAACGCATCCCTTCTACTCCTAAAAAAACTCATCGTGATCAAGATTCCGAAGAAGACAATTTGATGACTCCTCCTCACGCTCGATCCCCAAACACTATCACCACTGTACCTGTTGTTATTGTACCTTCAGTCACTCCAGCTCCAGCTCGAGCTCAAACTCCTCAATTAGTCAACTTAGGCCCATATCGATCTCCACCATCAGCTACTTCTCCCAGTCCTAAACGCAACAGACTCAACAACTCGCTTCCAGATCCTTCCCAGCTCGTTATCGACCCGAACCGATCAAAACACTTCGCTAATGACCCCATTTTAGATGTTTCACCGCCTACTAATTCCAACAGAAAAGCTTCAAGAACCCATAAGAACTCGTCTAAGTCTTTAATTACTCCAGTTGAAGAAGAAGTTGGTCCTACTTTCATATTCAAGACTCCCTTATCAGTTGATGAATATAAAAATTTACTTGGTCCTAAGGTAATCCTCAACAGGGAAGCTGTATATCCTTCTGATGAAGTCGAATTGTGTATTTCTTCAATGTATTCAGAAGTCTTCAAGCACTTCAAAGGTCGCATAGCTGTGAATGAAGAAGAATTTGATGATCGAGCTAAGGTTCTTAGGAAATTACACTTCATAGGTAGAAAAGGATTGGAAAAGCGAAGTTCTCCATGTATAATTCCTGGTCTAGAACTGTAAGAGTTCCTTCTTTACTTTGAATTGTTCTATTTTTCGATTTTTCAACCTTCTCCATCAGATTAATGTTAATCTCTGATACTAATACCTATTCTATTATGTTGTTATTTGTAGGAACGACTCTGAGGATTCTTCTACTGGATCTTCTTCAAAAGGAAAAGGTCGTGCTTAACCAACAACACCACCCCCTCTTTTCCTTATTTTAAGTTTTCAAAATTTCTAGTTCAACCTAGAACTCTTAACTCACAACTGAGAATTACTTAGACTTAGAACTATCTTAGATCCTACTTAATTCCTTAATAGTTGACTTTTAATGTTGATTTCTTCTTATTTTATACATGTACTTGATTTTATCTTGAAATAAAAGATAAGCTATGTTGAATGTGCCTTAGTTTAACTTGCCCACTCCCCCAAAACCAATGGGTTTTGCCTGCACCTGCCCTAATGAATTCATGTGATGGATTATGAGAATTTGATGAGTTGAGTCAAATGAGAAATGAGTGTAACATAATGAACCGTGACTAAGCCTGTATAGTAATAAAAATCTTTTGCGCCAAGTGCAAACTTTGAATGTATGAACTTGAATTCACTAACTTATAAGTTATTTTTGTTTTCTTCAAACTTGATCTGAAGCAAAGTGTTTGTTATAGTTGTAAGATTATTCTTGTAATTATAGCATGATTATAAAAAATTTACCCCTTACGTAAAGATGAGTAAGGGTCCTTTTTCCACGTCTTCCAAACTTCCCTCCACTCCTCTCACATCTTTCAGTGAGGACCTTTCCCAAAACCAAAGTGAAACATAAGAAAAATAAGATAAAAAGAAACATAACCAATAAATTCTGAACTCGAAACCTGTAACCTTGTGTGAATAATTCTGCCCAAAAAAAATGAATAAGATGTACCCGCTGCCGTTGCATGTAATGTATCTGATGTATTGCGCCCTGATGTAATTGATTAATTTGTGAAATGATTCTGCCTTAAATATAAATGAAAGAAAAGATGAAAAACAAGAGAAAATGAAACTAAGAAAATAAGAAAGAGGTGAAGAACCCGCCACAGCTTATGTTTTGTTGTTCCCTCTTCACCATTGATTTAATACCCCTAAAATTAATTGATTTATAATTTTGACTTTTAATTTTAATTGTAAACTCCACGCCTAAAATAAAAAAAATGAAGTATAAGAAAAAAATTGAAACATAACCAAAGAAACATAACCAAAGACTCTATATGAATGAAATATAACCGTAACTTGAAATTGTGAGAACTAATTGAAACCCGCCTCTATGATGTTTAAATGTGTAATGAACCCATGACCGCCTTGAATGATAATTAAAGTAAATGAAATAGTAAAAATGAAATGATAGAATGAAATAAAATAAAGAAACATAACCATTGATTTTAATTAAAACCTTAACACCGAATTTGATTGATTTGAACCTGCCGCTAATAAAATTTTTTATTGTAAATTTTGTATGACCCATTTAACTTGTAGGACTTTTGTTAAAATAATTTTAACTTCAATAATTTTGTTAGATTAATTTTAGCACCCGTAAATTTTCAAAGAACCTCTGTAAGAATAAAAAAAATAAAAAATAAGAAACCCTGCCAACTAAATTTATAAAAACCCCAAATAAGCAAAAGAAAAAAAATTAAGACTAAAAAAAACTGATGAAATAAATTGATAAGTGAAGAACCCGCCACTACTTTGTGTTTTGTTGTACCCTCTTCACTAGATGATTTTAATACCCTCATGATTAAATAATTAATTGAATGAAATAAGAAAAAATAAAATGAAATGAAAGAAACATAACCATAATCTAAGAAAATTGAAAATTAACCCGCAAATAAATTTTTAAAGTAAAGAAATCCTCCTCTATATTATTTGATAAAGTAACCTGTAACCATGATTTAATGAAGAACACATAACATAAAATGAAAAATTATAAAGAAACATAACTCAAAAATAAACATAACCGTAAAAAATCTAAAAAATAAGTTGAAAAGAAACCGCAATCTATAGTGTATTTTTATTTACTTTTGTAATTTTAATTTAAGCATCAAACTCCTCATCACTTTCTTCCCATCTTGAATCTTCATCCATAAAATCTTCACCATCTTGATGTTCATTTAAATCTTCTTCATCTGTACTTTCTTCTAACTCATTTGTGCCTCTTGCATAAAATTTCTTGACATGAGAAGCCGCATACCTTCGCCGTAATTCAGTACCGTCTAATTCTTCTAAAATAAAAGATCCCATATGTAATTGTTCTTTGACTTTATAAGGTCCATTCCATCTGTTTTCAAATAATTTACCCCATTGACTTTCTAAAGATGCATTATAAACTAAAACCATATCACCAACTTCCAAAGGACTTTTCCTTAATTTGTGCGCATTTTTCTTATCCCAATACCTAACACTTTCTTCTCTAACTCTCATCATTTTACTATAAGCATTATCCATCATTTCTTCTCTTCTTAATAATTGTTCAGTTCTTGCTTCTAATAATTCAGCTCTTGTATGTACTTCTTCCCAATTAACTCCTAAGAAAGTTCCAGCCTCAACATCAACAGGTAAGACCGCTCTTTGACCAAAAACCATCTCATAAGGTGAAATTCCTGTAGTTCTTTTTGTTGAAATTCTATCTGCAAATAAAACCATTGGTAAAGTTTTCCGCCAAGCACTTGGATTTGTACTACACATTTTGACTAAAGTATCCTTGATTGGCTTGTGACCTCTCTCAACCATTCCAGCTGCCTGTGGATAATAAGGTGTAACAATTCTAAGTTTTGCTCCACAACTTTCAACCGCCTTGACTAATTCATCTTTAAATTCACCACCTCCATCAACTGTAACCATTTTAATTGCACCATACCTAAATATCCATTCTTTTTCTAAAAATTCAGCAACCTTATCCGCCTTTAAATTTACCAAAGGTACCGCTTCAACCCATCCTGATAAATCATCTCTAGCAACCACTAAGTATTTATGTTGTCCAACTTTAATATGAACAGCATCCATACTAATTCTACCAAATAAAGTAGCTTCACCTGTAGCATGACCTAATTCTTTAGGTGTTAAAGAACTCCGCTTTTGACAAGCTTCACAACTTTGAACCCATTCCCGCACAGACTTCTTCAAACTTGGCCACCAAAACCTAAGTACTATTCTTCTGTAAGTTTCTTCAACTCCTCTATGACCTAAACCTTCATGTAATTGTTCTAAAATCCAATCTTGACCTTCAACATTTGTAACTACAACCTGAGCCATAGGATTTTGCCGCCGCATTAACCTTCCATTATCCAAATAAAACTTATCACTCTTCCTCTTAATTGATTTAAATTCTTCATCACTAATATCTTCTGGTCTGATTAAATTTTCTAAGTAATTGACTAAGTGTTTCCAGAATCCAACTTGTCCCCATCTTGCGTCACCATCAAGTAAATCTTCATTGATAATTAAATCTCCACAATAAATTCCAAAATCATAATCATTGTTTGCAACATCAATAAGTTTCTTCTCTTCATTAAATTCCTCAGCATCACTATCTAAATCACTATCTCGAGGTCTGCGTGATAAACCATCTGGCATAGTAAAAGTCTTACCCGCTTTATGAACCAAGTCAAAAGAAAATAATTGAATAAAAGAAACCCATCTTGTCATAGGAGCATTAGGTAAGTCAGGAGTATTAATCATTTGAATCAAAGCTTTAGCATCTACTTGTAACTCAAAATGTTGACCCCATAAATGAACTTGTAATTTCTTCAAAATCTTTGCAACTCCACATAATTCTAATTTTGGTTGTGAGTACCTTGATTCAACTTCAGTAAATGTAACAGATTCATACAACACTGGTCTATCTTTCTTAATTTTATCTTCTTGAGTTAATACCGCACCAGCCGCAATATAACTTGAATCAACTGCTAATTTTAATTTACCCGCACCTTCACCATAAGTAATACTCTTCAAAGTAATTTCTCTACCTACAATTTCCTTCAATTGTTCAAAAACATCTTGACATACACTATCCCAATCCCAATCAACTCCCTTCCTTGTTAATCTTCTTAAAGGAGATGATAACTCAGAGAAACCTTCAATAAACATTCTTACATAAACACATACACCTAAAAAGCCTCTAATTTGTCCTGGATCTTTTGGTACTGGCCAAGTTTGAATTTTGTTCCTCTTCTTAACTGAAATAGTGCGCCCATGAAAACCAACTACATGTCCTACAATTTCTAATTCAGGTACACATGCAGCAAACTTCTTTCCTGAAACCGTAAGTCCAGCTTCCTCAATTCTGAATAAAATTCTTTCCAATGTAACCGCATACTCATAAATAAATCTTCTGATACCTTCATTTTCAAATAAAACTTCGTTGTCATAATCATCTCTGGGACCCATAATTCCACCATCATCAATAAATACACCCGCATGTTCAGGAATCTCATCTTGTAAAATCCACATCATTTGAGCTTGATAAACTGCAACTGAATTTGTTGCACCTTGAGGAAGTCTAGTTAATTGAAATCTACCTAAGGGAGTCTCAAAAGTAGTCAAAGGTCTTGACTCAACCGCCAATTCCCTCTCATCATAACCACCCATAATATCACCAAGTCCATAACATGACCTTCCTGCAAAAGCTTCAACAAATTCTTCTGGAGCCGGTGGTACACCTGCATCCTTAATTGTAACTTTATTTAACTCTTGTAAATCATGAACTACTCTAAGTTTTCCATCATGCTTAATTACACAAAATACTGGGCTTGAATAACTTGAAGTACTTTGCTCGTATAAACCAGTTCTCAATCTTTGTCTGACTAATTCAATATATTCATGTCTTTTAGCTTTAGGAATTGGAATAACTTTCTTCTGCCAAGGTTCATGATCAACCACAGGAATAATATAAGGTAATCCATATTCATGTCTTAAAACACCTCTTTCACTTTCATTAAATGCAATTGATTTTTCTCTTAAGACAATAACATGTAAAATTAATTTCATTTCTTCACTACTTAACCAACCAGGCGGACCAAAATTAACCATCTTAAGTCTTTCTTCAGTAACCTTTTCAGTTTCCATAAATTCAGGAGGAGTCTTGAGAACAGGAGTTTCATAAGGATCCCTCGACAGAGATGGTCTTTGAAGTGGAGGATTAAGATATTGAGGCAT